CCGGTAAACGTCCCATGCTGCGTTCATGCAGGCTCGGAAATGCTGAAGCCTACAGAACAAACATCGGTTATAAAAACCCGATACCGATAATTCCCGATATTACATTTTTTAGCGAATATCGGACATCCCTATCTGAAAAGGACAGAAACTGTTCAGAACTAAAGATAATATTACCAACATATTGGGTCAGCAGTGGATTAGATCTCATCCACTGCTGATGTGATAGACTGACTGAAGAAATTCCATTAATGTGGTTTCATGACGGTGTAATTATTAAGCTTAAATACAGAAACATGTACATTTCTGCGTCTTCAGCTCTTCTAAAAACAAACAGTGGTCAGACCTTCCTTTATTCCTGCAGAGTCGCTCTCAAGACCAACAACAACCTACAGTTGACCTGCGAGCTGACTCACTGCAACACTTAGGAGGTTGAGTGCTTTACTCAGAGCTACAGAGACAGCGTTAATGACGGGAGGACGTTAACTGTTACTGTAAATGGAGAACAGAGAGCAGGGATGACCTACAGTTCAGGTCAGCCGTCCTCCACCCCCGCTGACTTCACGTCTTGTTCTGTGAGCAGATTAGAGACGTTGATATGAGTCACGGGTTTGCCTTGACCATTTGCATCAAAGCAAAGCTCTCATTAAAGGGCGATTCGTCATCATCATTTGTGTAACGCTCTCTGCAAACGCTCCTCTGTACACCTACATATAAACTGCAGAGAGAGTTCAGTTTCTATCTTTAATAAAGAGCTGCTGGTTAATGTGGCCACCTGCTCTTTACAAACCACCTCCAAATATTGACACACACGTCTTAGGGGTCAAAGAAAGTTCTGTTTCCTCTTTATGAAACCTTGAACTTCTTTATTTCATGGACTAACGCAGACAGACCACACTGATACTAACACAGTGCTGTTTGTTTTGCAGTGCGAGAACTGCAGAACTGTTGGATGGAAGAAGATGTAACGACACTCTTGGTCCCCAGATGATGAATCCTGATAACTTTGGGGATCCTCTCGCTGTTCTTGTCATTGTGAGGTTGTTAGCATTTAGTTGCAGCCGTATTTCCTCTTTAATAGTTAGTAAGAAGCTGTTAATATTCACTGTGTCGAGATCTATAAGCATGTTTCTAAAAAGTCAAAACGCCCAAATTCCAGTACTGATTCACAAAAATGACTCAACAGCTGCTCCGACTCACATTTTTAACTTTGGAAAGAGTTCGTCACGATCGCCTCTCTCTGGTTTTGTTGCTTTCATGCTTCGTCTTTGCTTCGAGCAGTTTTTGTCTTCTTGTTTTTTTTTTTTTTTCCATCGCTCGTGTTCTTGGCGCTTCTTGCAAGAACAACTTCATCGTTGTCCTTCTCGTGATTCTTCTCCAAGTTTAACTGATTCCACACAGCTGACACGATGAGTTCAGGCAGCAGCTGCGGTTGTTCAGTGACTTTCTGTCTTCTGATGTGCTTTTGGCTCGTGTGGAACTAATAACTGATATTGAGTAATGTGTTGTCATCTGTAACCTGAAGTAAACTGTGTTTCAGGCTGGAAGTGCAAACAGATGATAAGCAGTCCTGGTTCAGAGAGAAGTTGTTGTTTGACTGTAGGACGGACTGCCTCATGTTTTCAATATAATAATTTGTCTTTGGATACAAACACAGTTAAAGCTCCAGATCTCTTTTTTTAAATCAAATTAGCCCTTTTCCCTGGTTTCCACCCTTTGGGTGGGAAAGGCACTTTATGCACTCAGTTGCTTCAGCAGATCGGAAAAAATGCCATTTTTAGAACGAAGGCTAAAGATTTGTGCTCTATAATCACATTTCATTTTGTATTTACAAATTTCTGACATGATTTTACACAAAACCTTCGATGTATTTGCGGTGGACTTCCTGTACACCAGGATGGAAACTGAACCCGTCAGCACGCTGGCTCGAAGCCTGAGGTCCAGAGTTGGTTCTGTGCTGATTGATCGAATGTTTATGCAGATGTAGTTCAGACAGCGTTGGGCTCAGAGCTCTGCTGGAGCCGCGCAGCCATTTCCTCTGGTTACACTGTGAGGATGCAGTTTCTAGAGTGGGTCTAATGGATCATATGGAAATATTATGTTGCTGTAGCGCCACATATAGATGAGATCAAATTGTGCTTGTTGTTGAGATTTCAGTTAATCTTTTAAACCATTTACATAACGTATCCATTTACCTGGTTCCAGCTTCTCAGGTGCGAAGAATCTTCGTTATTGAGTGTTGATCAGACATAATACGACATTTCAAGACACCAGCCATCACTAAACTCTGACATTTTACAGAATACATTAATTGAGTAATCAATAGTAATTGACAGATGCATTTGTAGTGAAAATAGTTATTAGTTGGAGCTTTGAACACATCGCAGGGTCTAAAATTAACACCCACCAAGCGGCAAAAGCCGGTAAATTGGGACCAGGTACCATCACTGTGACCCTCACTGTCCACCGTACCTATTACTACACCAGCGATAGCAGCTGTCTACTACTTTGGTATGGTGTTCTTTTTATATACTAAATGTGGTAAAGATTGGACCAATTTTATGAAAAAGTGAAATGTTTTTGGTCTGTACTCATTATAAGCCAAATAATTGCTCCCAAACTAAAGATCTGTTTGTTTCTGGTCCAACTTTCCACCAGATTTCACTGAAATCTGTCGAGTAGTTTCTGAGTAATCCAGCTAACCTCCTTAATGAAGATAATAATGCAGTTTGAAAATACACAAACTCCACATCTCGCTATAAACACTGAAAACGTTCGTGTTCATTTCAGGACTTTTGTGTTGCATCACATCATACATACATCGTCTATTATTTTAACAGGCAATCAGCACCGTTAGTCCTGTGTGATCAAGTTTTCTTTATCACTAACGAGGTAATTCAAATAGAAAGCGTATCTGAGAGTTATCAGCACGCTCTCCGCAACTTAAATCTGCCTGTTTACGTCTGTGTGTCCTCATTATTGCGGTTTACATTCATTCACAGTTTCCCATTTACTGTTGTTTCCAGCCACGCACCATCCGGCTCGGCAGTGCGAGGCTTTCAGCAAGTCAAAGCGCTGCTAAAGGGGGAAACATAGGCCTCTTTGTCGCCGCACGAACAAAGGCAGGCGGTGACGTAATGTCAGGAGAAGACGAAGACGAAGAGGGTCGGATGATGGGGATCTAGCGAGTGTTCTCCGTGTTTCATTCCCTCCACCCCTGTCTTAACTGCAAGTCACGTGACCGGTGTTATTTCCTCTCTTGTGAAATCACACACACACACTCACATCCCTCTTTAGCAGAACGGCATATTAGCGGGCATTAAGGACCAACCCGGGGCACTGCAGGGCAAAGAGGGCCCACTCAGAAATGTAGCGTCCACTTATCAGCCGGGGTGGAGAGAGAGAGAGAGAGAGAGCCAGTGTGAAGATGTGGGTGTGTGTTGTAGTAACAGCTGTGAGCTCTCTCTTTAGACTAAATCGGAGTAGAGGGAAGCTTTAAACGTCATTTCTGAGACAAAACAGGACACAAGTTTGAGGTTTTATGTTTCCAAACTTTACTTGGAAAAGAAAGTGTTGAGTTACAGTTGGACCTTTTTTTATTTCTTTATCTGGTGTGAAGACCTGATAATGTGAGCAAAGTCTGCGTGTCCAGTGTTGTAAGGGAGGTCCGATTGATCGTAATCAGATCATATTAACTAATTAAGTCTGAACTAACTTCAGTCTTTGACTAACATAGATTTACTTGGGTGTGCCGCCCAGCTTATTAACAGTCACTGACTCATTTAGCAGAGAGAGAGACGTTATCTGCTCGATGTTTTACAAGCACTGGGCAGTTAAATCAACAGTTTTATTTTTAATACGCGAAGCCATTAACGAGTTCAAAATACCCAAAACATGAGTTACTTTATAAAAACTTACTGCTGAACAACAAAGCAACAGAGACCCACAGCTTGTATATGCAGAGAGTAAATACACAATATAAACATGTTCCTGGGAGACTGAAGCAGGGTTTTACTGTAATCATTCCTCCGCTTCATACTGGACATTAAGAGATCAACAGAATCAACACAGTGCAAAACATACAATATATAATACCTGTTTATGTGACGTTAATGTGAGGTTTCAGCAGTCGGGGTGAGACAAATAACGTGTTTATCATCCACAGTTGCAATCTTTGTAACTTTATGTTTCCCTGTTGAGCTGCAGTGAGAAGAAAAAGAGGAATTTCACTCTAAAAACACTGTAACTTTGGACGATACCAGCGTGATCTGATGAACTCAGACTGCTGCAGCCTCGTATTAACTGGTGAATACCTTTTTGTCCATTAGGAAGTGATTACAGCAAGAAAAACCTGTTCATGTGTGCTTTTATGGACTTTCCCATAATGCTTTTGGAGTCCCTGCTGTTCTCATCCGTCTCTGTGGCGTCTGTGTTGTAGGGACCGGCAGCGGCTCGCTCTCCCACGCCATCCTGCGCACCATCGCGCCCACAGGTCACCTGCACACGGTGGAGTTCCACCAGCAGCGGGCGGAGAAGGCGGCCGAGGAGTTCAAGGAGCACCGCGTGGATCGTCTGGTCACCGTCAGGAACCAGGACGTGTGCAAGGACGGGTTCGGAGTGACCGGGGTGGCGGACGCCGTCTTCCTGGACATCCCCAGCCCCTGGGAGGCGGTGAGACACGCCAAGACCGCCATGAAGAAACACGGTAAGACACCACAGCGTGTGTCTGAGAGAGATTGCACACATTAGTATTCAAACAGAGGCGTCCTTCGAGCTCACACTGATTTCCTGAGTGTGTTTTTATCAAGATGAGGAGTGAAAACGTGTCACTTTTTGATGAAAATTGCTGTTTTGAATCCAAAATATGTCATTAGGTTGAGAAAAAAATGGCAAACGTTTGTTATTTTGATGTTTACAGTTTCTTAAATGTGAGAATTTGCTGCTTT